CTAATTAATAACTCAAGTAATTTATTTTATCAATATGCAATAGAAATGTATATAAAATTTAAGATTAATCATGATTAATTCACAGCTACTTTGGGATTAATCAGATTAAAAATATTAATCATTTGACAGCCCTATATACAGTATGTGTGTATATATACAAACAAAACCAAAAAATCAGCAAATACTAGAAAAATACCTTTAAAACAAGTAAAAATTTACCTAAATATTTAACTTAAGTTGGGCAAAAACCATTTGACTGAAACTAAATATATTAATGTTACAAAGAAATGATTTAAAATGTAATTTATTTGAGAGATCACACATAAAAACTCATAATTTAAGTTGTCTAAGTGATTCAGTTGATGTTTTGATCATTTGAACAGAGAATTATTGGTCATAATCTTCTTAAATAAATCACTGATTTTATTTTCACTTCTTTATTAACCAGTCTAAACTGTAAATGTGTTAATGCTCTTTGTATTATTAAACTGTGAAAGTAAAAGTCGTCACATTTGTGTGTTTGTGAGATTTGTGCAGGACTTACGCAGAGGTCGGCGGTACCTGAACACATCAGGTGTTTCTCTCCTCAGCTCCGGGTTGAAAAGTGAAAATAACTCATCTTTTGAGATTTCGTTGCTCTGCGGAACATATTTAAATAAAAGCATGACTTCTGTTGTTTTTTAAAGAAGAAAAAGGAAAAGTTTAGCCTCTCACCTCCACATGTCTGAGCTCTGCTCTGAGGACGGACACACAGAGCAGCAGGAGGAAGAGCTGCTGCCGGAAGGTGCGCTCCATCACCCGCTCTGCGTCTGCAGCCTGCACCTGCAGAGGAAGTCTGAAGTCTGCTCCGCGCTCACGGCTGCTTTTATCCCTTCAGACCCTGCAGGGACCCTGGACCCCCACCCCCAGCCCCCCTCTGCTGACCAATTGCGTGTTTGTGACGAGAGCAAGAAGACACGACGACAGAGCTCACCGGAGAGGAGGAGGTGCAGCTGATGAAAATAAATGCACACTTCTGTCCCCTCAGAGATCCTGGCTTCTCTTTTAAACTCCCACTGCTCTTCAGACAACAAAGACGATGTGTGTGTGTGTGTGTGTGTGTGTGTGTGTGTGTGTGTGTGTGTGTGTGTGTGTGTGTGTGTG